ATTTGGAGGATTGGAGTCTTTTAATGCAATATTTACTAAAGTGGCAGAAAAGTATGGGTTTAGTATACTAACAAAAATAATGCAGAGAATGAAAGAAGAGTGCGTAAACCCAAATGCGTTAACAATCTTAAATAACATTTGGTTTATGTGGTTATGTCGTGCTTGTGCGAATACAGAGTATAATCCCATGATTGTTAATCTTATTTATACACACTTAGATCCTATACGTGTCTGTAATAGATATATAGCCCAAAATGCTATTTTAATAAAAAATATGTCTAGAGAGGTTTTATCTGCCTTAGAAAAAGAGAAAGAGTCACTTTGCATTGAAAACAACCCCACGAGTAAAGAAAAGTATGACAAGCTCACAAGTATTTTCAAGCCCAGGCTTGACACTGAAATGAGCGGATTACGTTTATCTGAAATGCCTTCTAGGAAAAGAAATATTCATGGCAATCCAGTATAATTTATTATTATATTGCTATTATAGAATTTTAGGATTTCTATATTGTAAGGAAATATTTTAGCCCCTGTCATATGAATAAAGAGCATAATCCTAGTTGATTTCTTAGAAAAAGTCATTAAGATACTTTAATGATTATTGAAAATGTAACTCTATTTATAGCTGTGTTCCTTATTTTGTTTTGTATTGAACGTACACTTTGTCAACAACCCAAACAATGTTATATTTGCGTATTTGTTGTCGCGTTAACCACTTATCAATGTAACTCATGTATGCCTTAGGCCTATGCTAGTCTTAGCATACAACAGTAAGTACAACCACAATATTATTTACATATGCTGGCTTTTTAGAATACTTGAGTCAAATTGGGGGTTTTTCAAAGTACATGATATTAAGCCACTGTACACACATATAGACCCGTCCAGCCTTTCAGACGAGTTTGTGGATGTTTTGGGTGACTGTCTGACTCCAGAGAATGCCAGGTATGTTATAAAGTTTTTAGATAGTAACAAATCAAAACTATACGGCAGCACGGATGAAAAGGAGTGCGAAAAGAAGCACCGGGCAATAGTATCTCTCTTTAGAAAGTGTACTACAAAAAAGCAGCCGGTCATAAATAAATAATGCTTAGTCATACACACTGCAAGTATGCAAAGTATATAATATGTGCATCTAACAGCCAGTCCATACTCCATCACAGTGTCTGGGTTATTAAGGCATGTTTTAATTATGTGTGGTGTGTGCTTGTGTAGTAGTCTGTTTGTGGCGTGATGTGTAGTTATGTGTGGTGTATTAACTGTGTGATGTATTATAATTGGATATATTTATATAAGAGCAAATAAATAAACTTAAAATAAATTGTATAATAATATTTTTATTAGTGTACGTGTTACATATTGAATTATTATACCTTCTATATAAACAGAATAATAAAAAGAGAAAGAGAAGAGAGAGAAGAGAAGAAATGGGTAGAGAAGGAGACTAAACAGAAAGAGAACAAATGAGGAGATATAACCCGAAGTGTGTATTAAAGAGTGTAGCAGTATATTTAATCCAAAGAGCCAATGTGTTATTGTAAATACTGCTATACTATGAAACATACCACTCAAATAGTGTACCAATCAAATAATGACCAATTAATTAGGCGAAGTTGATTTGATCAATCAATATAACGAAGAACCGTATTTGATTAGTTCGTTAAGAGAAGAACAATAACCAATTAGTTGAAAGACCCCTCTAAATTAAAATATAAATATCAAAATAAAAGATCGTTAATTAGATGAAATTAGAAAAAACGAATCGGGTAATAAAAAATATTTT